CCTGACTTGGGGCACCGAACCAAAAGGAGCACCCTTGTTATTCCTAGGTTACTCCTGGTTCTAGAAAAATGCGTACATTGAAGGTTCTCTGGCGGGGCTTATTTTTAGAGGGTTTCTCGTCGCTTGGTCCAGGGGCTCTGAAAATTTTTTCTAGTGTTCTCTTAGGGCCGCGTCATGGGGCCTTAGCGCAGCAAGATCGCTCAACCCTAAGCCCCAAACCCTAAAACATCGCAAGGCAGAGTAGAGCTTTTTTGGTTGAGTTCAACTCTAAACTCTGCACCACTCCTCATACCCTGCAGCAGCCATATCTCCACGCCATTTCTCCACTCTCCCAACCCAAACCCTAAATGCTAGCCGACCAATTAAGGGTCCCAGAACCACGAAGACTGCAAAGTAGAGCCTCCCGACAGTACAGAACTTCGCGCCTACACAAACCTCTGGAGAGTTCAGCTGCGTAGACCCTAAACCATAAAACGCTAACCTCTAACCCCCCCCCCAAGACACCTTATGTGCCCAGCACCCTGCAAATGAGAGAACTAGGCATCTTACATCCTTAAGACAAAGATGCTATTCCTTTAAAGAAGACATGAGGAGCCTCCTTCCTCGTTCCCTAGAAAGAGGTAGAAAGTCAATAAGACGGCAGAGACCCGAAGTCCTCAAAGCTGAATGCCCGCCCTTTCAGATCCATGTGTCGGCCGCCGCGAAGCATTTCATTCCGCGAGTTGTGCACCAGGTTGGGGACAAAGATGACTTGGGGACGCCTAAACAGGACTCTCCCTTCTAGTAGGTGTACCCAAAGTACCACTTCAGAATGTGCCTATCGAGGCTTCCCCAGCTTAGGCCTTGAAGCTTCACGTGGGAGACAGGTTCTGGTGCAGTTGTCTTCTTTTTGAAGGGGTAAACTCAAAACCTAAACTCAAACCCTAAACCCTAAACCCTAAACCCTAAACCCTAAACCCTAAACCCTAAACCCTAAACCCTAAACCCTAAACCCTAAACCCTAAACCCTAAACCCTTAACCCCAAACCCTAAGCCGGTAAGAGGTGTGGATCTCGGATGAAGCTCTGGAGGGAGACCCGAAGAAGCACCGCGGTATCTTGAAATTGCTGGAGCGCAATCGACAGCTTGGCAACCATACACTCTACGACGGCACAGCTGCGCGCCAGTTCATCCAGCAGCGCTTCCCAAGCTCAGTGCCTTGGGAGCGCGGTAGAAAAATCTGTAGAGCTTAGGGTTAGGGTTTTGGGCTGATTTGGGAATGCCTCAAGACCTAGTGAGAGCTGTCGCCATGACTTGCGACAGCCAGATAACGCCCAAGGTTTGTTTACTGAGGAGCAGTCCGTAGCAACTGTACGCAGCTTCTGCTGTCTGGCTGCTTGAGTTTGCAGCTAAGCCGAACTTTGAAACACATCCAAGCCCTAAGCACCCAGGGCCCTAGACCTTAAACCTGAACCCTGAGTTTTCAACACCCCCCAATGTCCTGGCTAGATCCGTAGAGTTGAACGCGTGAAGGCATCACAGCCTCCAATCAGATTGACTTAAACCCTGAACCCCTAAACTCTACACCCTAAACCCTAAACCCTAAACCCTAAACCCCAAACCCATAACTCATACACTCTAAGCCTCAACATCCGGCATAGGTGCTCGATGCCTTTGACCTCCTCGTCCCTGGCAAGTTCAAGTCTGACTTGGCTCGCCTCTGCCTTCTGCTGGTCGAAGGAGGCAAGGGTTTAGGGTTTAGGGTTTAGGGTTTAGGGTTTAGGGTTGGGGTTTGGGGTTTAGGGTTTAGGGTTCAGGGTTTAGCGCCTAGGGTTTAGGGTTTCGGGTTTCGGTTTTAGGTTTGAGGGTAATTTAGGGTTCAGGGTTTAGGGCGTCAGCATAGGGGGTGATACAGTAGGGGTTATAATAGGGCTCTTGAGTTTTGGGTTGATGACAGCATACAATGTCATTTACTGAAACCGCCATCGCATACAACGGTAACCTGCGCTCTTCGCGGAGCTTTGGTTTTCGTAAACCCGCCCCCTGAACCGCCCTTGTAGCGCGAGGCGTATATGTTGACAACGACATCCTGCTGACCACCTCTTTGGATGAGTTGCTCGGGGGGCACACCGGCTTCCTGGCAACGCTGGATCGCTTCGCGAACAGGTGCCGCTGTGGCACATTGTGCATACTAGAGGCCTCGTAGTCTAGTGTAGTGTGCAGTACTATGGCATATCGTAGTATGCGCTGGTATACCGTAGTAGAGTATAGTAGGGTACAGTATGGTATGGCATGGCATGATACCACTAGGTAATCCGGGATTGTGTCGTAGCATTGTGCATGCCAACGGCGCGCTGAGCTTTAGCATCCTGAGTGGTCGAAGATATCAGGCATCCCACATACCACACGGTATACAGTGCAATGCCTGCCGCACACCAAGCTGCAGGAGTTATAAACCCTAAGCCCGTGAACCCTAAACCCCAAATCCCAAAACCCAAGACTCCATCCCAAATAGGAGTTTACGAAAATCAGGGACCCCAAATAGTAGGATTCTTCCTGATTTCGGAACCCCCCCCCACTAGTCTCCCTGGATAGGGGCGCAAACCAGACCTGCCTTCTCAATGGTCTCATTGCCGCGGCCCCTGGGCACCCTGCGATTGCCATCGCCCTAGCTCGGCTGGTCGCTCATGTTCTGAACCAGGAGTCTTCCTCAACCCTAGCCCCAAACCCTAAACCCTAAACCCTAAACCCTAAACCCTAAACCCTAAACCCTAAACCCTAAACCCTAAACCCTAAACCCTAAACCCTAGACCCTAGACCCTAGACCCTAGACCCTAGACCCTAGACCCTAAACCCTAAACCCTAAACCCTAAACCCTAAACCTACCCTAAACCCTAAGTCTAGACTTGTCGATTTTGTTACGTTTCGTTGCAGCTGGTGGAGGGTCTTTCCATTTCAGGATAAGCAGAAGGGCCTTGCAGCCAGAATTCAATTCTTTCATGGAGTTCCTTTCTTCAAGAGGGTTTAGGGTTTAGGGAGGGCGCCACTCTGAAGCAAAGACTTCTCATAGTATACGATCGTGCACGAAAATATATGAGAACACAAGAGTGGCCACATTTGCCACGCTGTACTACGAAGTGTACCATACTCATAGCTCCTCAACCAGGACGCGTTTGCCGACCGCCTAAGCCCTACACCCCAAAACCCCAAACCCCAAACACTTAACGCTGAACCCAAAACCCTAAACCCCAAACCCGAAACCCTAAACCCTAAACCCTAAACCCGAAACCCTAAACCCTAACCCTCAACCAGGACACCTTTGCCGACCTGCTTGGGGACTTTTCGGACCCGCCTGTGTGGCACATGGTGACGTCCAGCGACCTTTGGGCTACGGGACCTTGCCTCCTAGGCAGCTCATTGCGCCTGCGCTGTAAATGAGATGCTTTCTGTAGGGTTTAGGGTTTAGGGTTTAGGGTTGAGGGTTTGCTGTAATAGGGCGTAGATGCTGTGAAGTTAGGCTTTGGAACAAGCTCGAAAGCTGCGTGAGGTGCAAAGAGCAGCTCTGGCTCTTCTAATACCTTTCTCCCAGGCGGCAAAACCACCCAAACCTATTCCTTTTCGGGTTTAGGCCTAAACTCAAGTCAGCTGCTTACTTGCAAAGAAACTTCTTTATTCCGTCACGGATGGGCCAGGCTAGTTCCACAAGAGGGTTCAGGGGGTCAGAACCCGGTGGAAGACCCAGAGACGGGTGACGGGGCCAGAGAAGGCGTGGGCCAGGGCGGAGGGGGGCAGGGGCTCAGGCCCAGGAGGGGCCCAGGCCCCCCCAAAAGAAGGGAGGGGGGTACTTGCTACCAGTACTGGTTTCGAGAAGAACCCAGGCCCCACGTGGGCGCTGCCGACCTCCGAGCTGTTGCAGGCGGGCGAACGACCTGGCTCGGCTTGCGCCATCGAGGTCGAGCACCCCTCACTGTAGGGAGGCGGCCTAAGCCTTGAGTTTAGGGGGGCGTTTGGGGTTTAGGGTTTAGGGCAGCAGCTTCGCCCTAAGCTCCAAACTCCCTGAAAAACAAGGGGCTCCCTGAACCCAAACTCCGGAACAATCCTTAAAAAACCCCAAACCCTCAACCCCAAACCCTAAACCCTAAACCCTAAAACCGAGGAACCTGGCCCTGGCGCGCGATCCCTTCGCGGGGTTCGAGCCGGGCACCTGGAGCTTCGATGCCCGGAGCTCCGCTTCCGGCGGGATCCGCTTTGGACAGGCTCCGGGCTTAGGGATTTAGGATTTAGGGTTTAGGGTTTGGGGTTTGGGGTTTAGGGTTTAGGGTGTCGGGTTTAGGGTTTAGGGTTTGGGCTTTAGGGTTTAGGGTTTTGGGGCTTGGGGTTTGGGGTTTAGCTTTTCGGGTTAGGTAATCTTTAACCTTTTGGGGGTACATGTAATCCTACCACAGTTGACAGGTTAACCTTGTTTGGCCCAGGATACCCAGCAACTGGGTTTGGGCTTTGGGGTTGAGGGTTTGGGGTTTGGGGGTTGTGGTTTGGGGTTCAGGGTTAGCAATACATGTAATCCTAGCACAGTTGACAGTTGGGGTTGAGGGTTCGGGGCTTGGGGTTTGGGGTTGTGGGGTTTAGGGTTTAGGGTTTGGGGTTTAGGGCTTGGGGTTTAGGGTTTCGGGGTGTGGGTTTAGTAGTCGGACATGGTCGTTTGCTTCCGGTGGTGATTCTAGTTTTCTTCAGCATTCTTTCGCACCTTCGAGCTAGACTCCAAACACTTGTGCAAGGACTGCCTTTGGTTTAGGGTTTAGGGTTCAGGGTTTAGGGTTTAGGGTTTAGGGTTGCAAGTTTCCTTCTTTGTTCCTTCACAGGAGACTTGCTTACTTCTCCCACACAGCATACGCAGGCGTTGGCTCCACTGCCTTTCCACTACCATGCCGCTGTCATCGGGAGGGTTGTCATTTTTTCGAGAACTGACCCAGCGTCGGTACTTTTCTCATGCAGTGTAGCTACGTATCAGCACGCCCCAAACCTTAACCTCTAAACACTAAACCGCTAAACCCCAAACCCTAAACCCCAAACCCCAAACCCTAAACCCTAAACCCTAAACCCTAAACCCTGAAGTGGGGGGAGTGGGGGGAGTGGGGGGAGTGGGGGGAGTGGGGGGAGTGAGAGAGTGTGGGGGAGTGGGGGAATGTGAGGGGGTGTGGGGGAGTGGGGGAGTGGGGGAGTGGGGAGTGGGTGGGGGACCCTGAACCCTGAACCCTAAACCCTGTGCGGCCTGCGCGTGTGCAGGTCCGGCTGCTGGACCTGCGGCCCGTCGAGCCGGCCAGCAGAGGGATGGAGTTTGGCGTTGCCGGGTAAGCCAGGAAGAGTTCAGGGTTTAGGGTTTAGGGTTTAGGGTTCAGGGTTTAGGGTTTAGGGTTTAGGGTTCGGGGTTTAGGGTTTAGGGTTTAGGGCTTAGGGTTTAGGGTTTAAGGCTTAGGGTTCAGGGTCTAGGGCTTAGGGCTTAGGGCTTCTGTTACCCTTTTCCCCCGGTGCAAAAAGTAGCCAACGCCAAGAAGGCAAGCCTTCAATCAAAGCCCTAAACCCTAAAACCCTAAACCCTCAATCCCTCAAACCCTCCAAGCCTCAAACCCTCAAAGCCTCCAACCCTCAAACCCTCCAACCCTGAACCCTTCTGGTTACCGGGCCTACCCACGAGGTTGTGGTTCAAACCCTAAAACGCTCAACCCTTCTTGTGGTTACCCGGGCTACCCACTAGGTTGCGGTTCAGACCCTAAACCCTAACCCTAAACCCTAAACCCTAAACCCTAAACCCTAGGGTTTTAAACCCTAAACCCTAAACCCTAAACCCTAAGCCCTAAACCCTAAACCCTAAACCCTAAACCCTCAACCCTAAACCCTAAACCCTAACACATTGCCCTTCTTCCACAAGGTTGAGGTTGACCCAGCCCGCATCCGCCCTCTCGCGCCGGAGAAGTGCCGGGCCCATCACTGCCACCACGCCCGATATGATGTGGATGGTGATCGGTACGTGGGATTCAGCAGCTGGGTAGAAGGGTTCAGGGTTTAGGGTTTAGGGTTTAGGGTTTAGGGTTTAGGGTTTAGGTTTGTGGGCCCTTTGGATTTTTGTTTTGTATATTTTCCCTTTTTACTTTGAAGAGGATCATCTTCAGGATATGTTTTTTAGAGGGTTTTGGAGGGCCTTCCAAGGCAAGTTCCTGCAAACGACAGAAGTGCCGAGCTGGCTAAATGCGAGCATCGGCCACTTGGATTGGGATGGATGGCGCTGGGGCCGGAGTGAGATGTTCACTCGCCCCAACCGTCCTCGTGCTCGGCGCCAGATGCAGATGACAGTCGTCTACCCGTCCGCCGTCCTCTCCATCTCCTCAAACGGTACCATCACGTCCTCGGAAACATCAATTTAGTGCTGTATCAGGTATCAGCACTATCAGCACATGAGCGCCTGGGTACACAAGTGTGGCCGCCGTGCGCAAGCCCTGTATTTCATTCCACTGCAGGGCGGCGTGCCCTTTTTGTTTTGTCGGTTTTGAGATTTAGAGCTCGAAAGAGCATGGCCAATCTGCCAAAGGTGGTTGCGGCTTTTTAAAGTAGTTTACCCTAACAGGAGGGCCGCAGGCCCGAACATCATTGCATCAAGCGGAAAGGCAGTCGAATTTTGCTTCAGGGTTTAGGGTGTAGGGTTGAATTGTTCTGCTTGCCACTCAAGCTTTTCAATCAACAAAGACCCTGAAATGCGCGGACCGCCATCTGCCCACTGCCATGTTCATTTCTGTGCCCTGAACAATGCCTCTGACTAGCAAAGGTGCAATCCACGATGTGGCAACTGCTGTTTGTTAAGAACCCCACGTAAAACACGTAAATCTTCTTGCGCTTATTTTCAGGGGCTGCGCCCATGAGCGGGCAGCGCGGGCCGAAGCTCGAGGAGAGTTCGGATCAGCTGTAGAACATTGCCGGAACGCACGGGTTTGGCCCCGGGGTCTATCGTGTCAAAAAGCCATGACCTTTCAACCCAAGATAGGCCTTGAGCTCAAAGACTTGGAAACCTGAATGCCCGAATACCCAAGCCGCAGCCAAGTAAAATGGCTAAAGATGCCTTAAGACCCGGCCTGGGGTCCCGGACTGGACTCAGCTCTTTGGGGGGGGGGGGCGGGGGGAGGGCGGTGGTGCTACTGCAGGGGTGAGTTGTCACTGACGCCGACTGGGGTCGGCGGAGAAGGGCAATGAAGGGATTACAATTTTTGTTTTTTTTTGGGGCTGGGGGGGGGGCTTCTTAAGCAAACAGTAGGAAGAATGCTCCCGCGCCTTGGTGTTGTTGGTTTGTGGTGCTGGACAACTTGGCAGCATGTCCTTACTTGGGACCATCAGCTGTTCTCTCTGGCTCTGTGGCTTAAAGCTGCGTCATACTTGGAGGCTCATGATAACCCCAATTGTATGTCTACTTATAGCCTACTTAGAGGACTTGGGGGGCTTATATGTGCGGGGATAATTGGGGTTATAAGTACTCTCCAAGTGGCCCTAACCCTAAACCCTAAACTCTAAACGCAGAACCCTAAACTCTAAACCCTAAACCCTAAACCCTTAGCGTACTTTGGACAGCTGGTGACAGCAGCTACCAAGTGGGGGTTTCCGAAAACGAGGGGCCCCTAAAGAAAGAGCCCCCAAAATGTAGGATTCCCTTAGAGTAAGGACCCCAACAAGGTACCCCTAACTTATCCTAGTTTCGGAAACCCCCCATATCAGACCCCCCGCGTTGCACCGAGCCGTCTTCTTTCCTTCATTGCCATGATATGCTTTGCTAAGGTAGTCATAGCACACCATGCTACGATTAGCTTAAGCACCCCAGAGGTAAATCCGAGCATTTATGACCATAAGTATTTTCCTTATCAGGGCAATAAAAGGATTACTGTTTTCTTTTTATACGATTTTTTTGGGGGTTCTTAAGCAAATAGCAGCATTTTTTTTACCACCTGGGATATTCACCCTTATACTAACAGTCCTGAAGAGGGATTCTAGTACCCCCTATGTCCTTATTAATAAGGACTGCTTGTATAGGGGGGAACATCCCAAAGCAGACCACATTGTCACCTGCATTTTGTGTTTGCCGCGCTCGAGTCGTATCCATGTTGAAAACGTCACAACATCAAGAACATCTGTACATCTCGAAGCCCTGCAATAGATGATCCTCATGGAAAGCACATATAGGCTTCTTCTTGTGCTCGTCGTTGAAGGATAGTATGCACTCCGGCGGGTGCAAGCTGCAGGGCAAAGGATATAAACTCCCAGCCACCAAGCTTCCCCTGGAGCCCAAGACCCTAAGCCAAAGCCCAGACCCCGCACACCTTGTCAGCACCCAGTGCCCAACGCAGCACAACACCGAAGCTTGAAACTCTAAACCCTAAACCCCTAAGCCCTCCTAAGCCCCTAAGCCCTCCTAAGCCCTAAGCCCTAAGCCCTAAGCCCTCCTAAGCCCTAAGCCCTAAGCCCTCAGCCCTAAACCCACTATAAGCCCCAAACCCTAGAACCTAAACCCTAAACCGCTCCAGCTCTCCGTCTCCAGCGTCCCAAGAAAGCATCGGTTGCCATGGACTGCGAGTTTCCGGAGGACTGGGACGACGCGGAACCTCTCGAGGAGGATGGGGCCTCGGGGGTTTAGGGTTTAGGGTTTGGGGCCTAGGGTTTAGGGTTTACGGTTTTGGGTTTGGGGGGTTTCCTTTACTTGGTAGCCCAAGGTACCATCTGCCGGTTCAAGGTTCCCTTATAAACTGAACCCTAAGACCCTAAACCCTAAACCCTAAACCCTAAACCCTAAACCCTAAACCCTAAACCCTAAACCCTTCTTAGAGTATGGTTACTGGGCTACTGAGGCTTGGGGATGAATTTCCTGTAGTACGGCTGTGCCCTTTTGGGGCGCGCCCTAACGCAAGGATGCTACTATTTTGGGGTTTAGGGTTTGTAGGGTTAGGGTTTAGGGTTTAGGGCTACTATTTTGGGGGGTATATCAAGTGAGAAATGCCCATCTGCTGCATATGCTTGCTTATTTGGGGCGGAGTGCGTGTTTCTTTGAAGCGCCTCAATGCCCTGGAGCAGACTACCACCGTGTTCCTGCTTTGGCTTGCCCTGTACTTTGGGATGTTCCCCCTTCTACTAACAGTCCTTAATGGGGATGATTGTACCCCCTATCATAATCCCTATTAAGGACTGTTAGTACAAGGGGGAACATCCCAACCTGTAATACTGACACGTTTGATGTTTTGTGGACAACCCCGGACATCTGCCGCTTCTATCCTCTCACGTGTTGGGCACGTCAAGTGGCATCCAGCTGGGGTTAGGGTTTCGGGTTTAGGGTTTAGGGTTTAGGGGTGTTGAAGCCCTCAACCCTATCGCTGCGGACGTTTGCGGCATCGAGGAAACTGCGTGGGCCGAGGGTGAGGTGGAGGAAGCTCCGGAGGATCGATGGTTTAGAACTTGGGCTTTACGGTTTAGGGTTTAGGGTTTAGGGTTTAGGGTTTAGGGTTTAGGGTTTTGGGCTAGGGGGTTTAGGGCTTAGTACACAGTCTTACTTGGAGGTTCAGGGGGTACTTATTAACCCAATTATTATCTATACTCATAGCCCGGTTATAACCATGTTAGGGCACTTAAGGGGCTTACAAATGGGTTATAAGTACAGTTTGGAATTTAGGGTGCAGTCTTACCTTGGCTTTCTTCTGTCTGGCTCTTGGGACTTTAACCTTTTGGGTTTTGTAGAAACTACAACAAGGAGCCTGGGGGTTCAGAATTTGGGGTGTAGTCTTACTTGGAGGTTCAGGGTACTCATCAACCCAATAACAAGTGTACTTATAACTTGTAACCCAATCATCACCATGTTAGGGCACTTAAGGGGCTTGTGAGTGAGTTATAAGTACAGTTATCAGTGGTGAATAAGTACCCTGACCCTCCAAGCACATCTAGTGCAGAGAATTCCACCTAGTAGCTGGAAGTACTATCGGAATAATTCCTAAGAAGATTACCTTATGGTCCCCTTTGTAAATAGACGATAATGGCCCACAGAACCCTCTTCTTATTTTTCAGGCCCCTATAGTCTGTGTGCTCGGGTCTTGGCATTATTGCTCCAACCCGAAACCCGAAACCCTAAACCCTAAACCCGAAACCCTAAACCCCAAGCCCTAAACCCTAAACCCCAACCTCTGCAGGAGGACCTCTCCCTCCTGGATGCCTCAGCCGAGGGCTTTGAGCCCGAGGATGGCGCCGCAGAGGCTGCGCCCCAAAACTTTCCCAAAAAAGAGCTAGGGTTTAGGGTTCAGGGTTTAGGGTTTAGGGTTGAGGGTTTGGGGTTTAGGTTTTAGGTTTCAGGGTTTAGGGTTTAGGTTTTAGGGTTTAGGGTTTAGGGTCTAAAGAACCCCGAAAGAACCCCAAAGAACACGAAGCCCTGAAGCCTAGGAGGTTAGAACTTAGTTTTTAGTTTTTGTTGCCCTTTCCCTATACAACACTTACAAAGCCATAGGAAATAATGCTTATAGGGCCCCCAAAGCTACCCAAGTAAGCCCAACACCCGCCCCCTGAGCCCCTCATTGCAGTGCTGGATGGGTCGAATCTTTTAGCTGCAGGGTTGGAAAGTTTGGGGGGTTGCGGTTCGTCTTCTTTGAATGTTTGCCTGCGGCGAAATGCGGCTTGGCTCCGAAGTAACTTTTTTGGTCGTAGTTCAACATACCTAACCCAATAAACCCCAAACCTTAAAACCCTCTTCCCGAAACTTTAGGGTTTAGGGTTTAACGGACACTCCCTGCTATAAAGGGCCCTAGGCCCTAAACCTCAAAGCCTGTATCAATAGTCTGAAGTGGCCGGGAACCCTAAAGCCTAAACCCTAGAACAAGTTTAAGGTTTGGGGTTTGGTGGATTGGGTTTGCGGTTCGGGTCTGGGTGGGGGGGTGGGGGGGGTGTGGCGAGAGTGTTTCGGGGTAGGGGGGGGTAGGGGGGAGGGGGTAGGGGGGGTTAGGGGGGGGGGGGCCACGGAAATGCTGCCAGGGCACCCCCCCCCTACCCCCCCTCCGAAGAGGGAGGTTTTCACCTCCAGAAACCCATCCAACACGCCGCCAGGGTCGGCGGACCCTAAACCCTAAATCCTAAACCCTAAACCAAACCCTAAACCCTAAACCTTAAACCCTTAAAAGAAGGTAAGGGGCCATGCTGAGGGACCATGAAACTACCCTTAGAGTTTCTCAGATCTTCAAGCCAAGAGGCCCAAAGCTCCTAAAGACACTGATGAGTTTACTAGGGTGTAGGGTTTAGGGTTTAGGGTTTAGGGTTTGGGGTTTGGGGTTTAGGGCTTAGGGCTTAGGGTTCGGTGGTTGGGGTTTTAGGGCTTAAGGTTTGGGGCTTATGGGATTTCGGGTTTCGATTTGTTGGGCCCTAAACCCTAAACCCTAAACCCTAAACCCTAAACCCTAAACCCTAAACCCTAAACCCTAAACCCTCAACCCATCGAAGTCGTGAGGAGGACTTGGCTTCGCTAGAGGCGGCCGATGGCCTGGAAGAGGTTCGCTCATGGGCGGTAGGGTTTAGGGTTTTGGGTTTAGGGTTTTGGGTTTAGGGTTTTGGGTTTAGGGGGCTTTGGGGGGTTTCCAGGCGTGCTTCAGGGCTTCAATGCGGTTTCAAGGGAGCTTTACGGAGTTTGGAGCGGCGCTAAGCAGGACTTGCGGGGTTTAGGATGTTGGGTTTAAGGGGGTTAGGGTTTGGAAGTTTGAGTGGTCTGCGGATCTCAGGTTAAACGACAGGGTGTGCGCGACTGAAGATTTTCTAAGGGGGTGTGGGGTGTATGGTATTAGTTTTGCTTTGGTTCAATGTTTAGGGTCTTAAGACTTGAAGGCTTTGAACGTGTAGGGCAGGGTTTGGAAGCCCTGAACACTTTGATGAATTCAGTCTTTTGGTTCTCCCCACGGCTCCAAAAACCCTATGCCCTAAACCCCCCAAACCCTACACCACCAAACATCCTACTGCCCTGAACCCTAAAGCCCAGGTACTTCCAAACACCCCCCCCCCCCCCCCCCCACAACCGCCAAAGCCTAGAAGTGGGCTGTGGGGCGTAACCCTAAACCCTTAACCCTACCGCCGTACTCAACCCCTAAATCTCTAAACCCCTAAACCAAAACCCCAATGCCCCCAAACCCCTAAACCCCTAAACCCCCTAGACCCCAAACCCCTGAAGCCCTAAAACCCCTAAAGCTCCTGAACCCACCAAACACCCTAAACTTTAAATCCCGAAGCCCCAGCACCTAAATCCCCTAAACCCCGAAAGAAACCCAAATTCCTAAACCCTAAACCCTAAACCCTAAAACCCTAAACCCTAACCTAAACCCTAAACCCTAAACCCTAAACCCTAAACCCTAAACCCTAAACCCTAAACCCTAAACCCTAAACCCTAAACCCTAAACCCTAAACCCCTAAACCCCTAAACCCCTAAACCCCCAACCTCAAAAAGCCCTAAGCCAGCATCGAAGGTCGCCGAAGAGGATCTCGCAGCTTTGGAGGTGTCGGGCTTTGGGTTTTGAGTTTGAGGGTTTAGGGTTTGGGGTTTAGGGTCTAGGGTTTAGGGTTTAGGGTTTAGGGTTTGGGGGTTTAGGGTTTGGGGTTTGGGGTTTAGGGTTTGGGGTTTAGGGTTTGGGGTTTAGGGTTTAGGGCTTGACGCACCCCGAGAGTCTGGGTTGAAGCTTGATAGCGTTGATAGGGCCCCAACAGCCTCTAAAGCCTCCAGAGCCCCCCCTACAGCCCTGAAGCCCCTACCCTAAACCCTAAACCCCTAAACCCCAAACCCTAAACCCCAAACCCTAAACCCTAAACCCTAAACCCTAAACCCTAAACCCTAAACCCTAAACCCTAAACCAAAGCCCCTGAAGCCCATGAAGCCCCTAAAGCTGCTAAAGCCTCAAACCCTAGACCCTAGAGCGTGAACCCCAAACCCTAAGCCCAAAACCACTAAAAGCCCTAAACCCCTAAAACTCTTAAACCACCAAACCCTAAACCCTAAGCCCCTAAACCCTAAACCCCTAAACCCCAAACCCTAAACCCCAAACCCTAAACCCTAAACCCTAAACCCTAAACCCTAAACCCTAAACCCTAAACCCTAAACCCTAAACCCTAAACCCTAAACCCTAAACCAAAGCCCCTGAAGCCCATGAAGCCCCTAAAGCTGCTAAAGCCTCAAACCCTAGACCCTAGAGCGCGAACCCCAAACCCTAAGCCCAAAACCACTAAAAGCCCTAAACCCCTAAAACTCTTAAACCACCAAACCCTAAACCCTAAACCCTAAGCCCCTAAACCCTAAACCCGAAACCCTAAACCCTAAACCCTAAACCCTAAACACACAAACCCCTAAACCCCTAAACCCCTAAACCCCTTAACCCTGAACCCTCCTCCACTCGGGGTTTTGCAGGCTGCGGCCCTCGACAGCTTCGAGGCACCGGCCGATGAGGGCCCCCCCGTGGAGGCGGGTTTAGGGTTTAGGGTTTAGGGTTTAGGGTTTGGGGTTTGGGGTTTAGGGTGTAGGGTTTGGGGTTTAGGGGTTAGGGTGTAGGGTTTAGGGTTTGGGGTTTGGGGTTTAGGGTTTAGGGTGTAGGGTTTAGGGTTTAGGGTTTGAGGCTTTAGGGTTTGGGGTTTAGGGTTTAGGGTTTGAGGCTTTAGGGTTTGGGGTTTAGGGTCTAGGGGTTAGGGTGTAAGGGTTTAGGGTTTAGGGTTTGCAGGGCATGTTCAGAGGGGCTTAGGGTTCAGGGTTTGGGGTTTGGGGTTTAGGCTTCATAGGGGGTGTTTTAGAGGTTTTGAGAGCTTGTTTGGGTTGCAAGGTTGGTTAAAGGCTTGTTCGGGCGGTGTGTGTTTTTTGCGATGGCTGACAAGGCCATACAAGGTTTATTGGGCTTGCAGGCTGACCCTCTAAATCATCTAAGCGCTGTACTTGAAGAATCTCCAAACGCCAACCCCTACAAAGCCCTGGGCTCTAAACCCTAAACCCTAACCCTAAACCCTGAACCCTGAACCCTGAACCCTGAACCCTAAACCCTAAACCCCTAAAACCTAAACCCTAAACCCTAAACCCCAAACCCTAAGCCCTAAGCCCTAAACCCTAAACCCTAATGGGGTGCAGGGCTCAGGTCCCTGAACCCTGAAACCCCAAAACTCTCCCGCCAGAAAAGCCCGAGGCTGCGCCAGGGTTCGAGGCCTCGGAGGTTGCAGACGCCGAGGAGGAGGAGGAGCAGGGTGGTTTGGGGTTTTGGGGTTTAGGGTTTTGGGGTTCAGGGTTTAGGGTTTGGGGGTTTAGTAGGGTTTAGGGTTTAGGGTTTTGGGTGTAAGGGTTAGGGTTTAGGGTTTGGGCTTTGGGGTTTAGGGTTCAGGTTTTAGGGTCCAGGGTTCATGTGTGCTTTTTTTGAGGGGTGGGAAGGGAGGCTTTTGGGCTTTGGGAAGTAGGGTTTAGGGTTCTGGGCTCAGGTTTCAGGGTTAAGGTTCTTGGTGGGTTGCACTCGGTTTCGTCTTTTTCTTGCGGTTGAGTTTCGGGCCCCCAGGGTTTGGGCAGTTGGGTCCATGGCTTAGGTTTTTATATGCACTGTTGCGGGGGGTTTAAGGGGGGTTTAAGGGGGTTTAAGGGGGGTTTAAGGGGGGTTTAAGGGGGGTTTAAAGGGGGGTTTAAGGGGGGTTTAAGGCTTGAGGTGGCCAGGGGTTACTCTGTCAGGCTTTTGGGGTGTAAGCCCCCTAAGCCCTAAACCCTCAGCCCTAATGACCCTCATCCCGAAAAGCCAAGCCCTGGCAACCCGAAGCCCTAAACCATAAGAACCGAAAGGTCTACACGCCAAGCCCAAACCTTGAGAACCTAAAACTTAAACCCCGAAACCCCAAGTAAACTCTCTCTGTCTTTTTCAAACCAAAGCCCTAGACCCGAGACCCCACAAGCCTCTAATCTCTCTGTCGATTTTTCAAGAGTATACCTTGGGAAGCTCAAACCCTCAACCCAAACCCTAAACTCCAAGCCCGCCCGCCACCCCTCACCTCTTTTTGGGTGAGGCAGGTCGAGCGCTCAGCGAGACCAGGGCAGAGGGTAGCTTTGTCACTAGATATGGGGGTTTTCGAAATTAGGGGTACCTTATCGGGGTCTGATAGGGGTCTACACTACTTTGTGGTGTTTACTGTAACTTTAGATCCTTAGCCTTGTTGGGTTTATTGGGGTTCTACATAAGGCGTGCAGCCAAGCATTAGGGGTCCCTCATTTTCGTAAACCCCCATATCTCGTATTACCCTAAGCGCGACCAAGTTTGCTCTCGCGCGAGCGCCAGGGGGCCGCCAGCCGGGTCAGCCTAGGGCCGGCTCTGGTTTTGGTAAGCCTGGGGAGGGCATGTCTGCATACGACGCTTCAGGCGCGACCTCGCTGAGCCCCCTGAACCCTGAACCCTGAACCCTAAACCCTAAACCCTAAACCCTAAACCCTAAGCCCTAAACCCTAAACCCTAAACCCTAAACCCTAAACCCTAAACCCTAAACCCTAAACCCTAAACCTTAAACCCGGTGTTTCGAGCGCACCCCGAAACAACGCTCGCAGGACCTGGCGGCCCTCGAAGCTGCGGCCTGCGCCAGCTTCGAGGACTGGTCTTTCGGCGCTTTCGGATTTAGGGTTGGGGTCTTTGGGGCTTCAGGGTCTGGGTTTAGGGTTTAGGGCTTGAGGTATAGGGTTCAGGTTTCTGGGGTTGAGGGGTTCTTGGGCTTCTTTTTGGGGTGGCCTTTGAGGGCTTTTAAGTACAGGGGGTTTGGGATTTTTAGAGGGTTTTGTGTTGGGTTTCTAAAGGGGATTTGGGTTTTAAGGTTAAGGGACGTGTAGGATTTTTTTGAGGCTTTTAGGTGTTTTTTGGTGGGTGTTGGGCGTTTTTAAGGGGTCTAAGGGGATTTTTCAGGGCGTGTAGGTTTCCTTGAGGTGTTTAGTTTTTTTTTGTGGGTCTTATGGGCTAGGTAGGCCCTTGGGATATTTCATGTTTCCTTTATTGGGTTTAAGGAGATCATATTCAGTACAGGGTTCTTAAGGGAGGGGGCTTCATCGGGGGTAGGTACCTGTTTTTTTTTTTTTTCCCCTTGAACCTCCCTTCCCTTAAGATCCCTACAATATTCAGGAATTTGGGGGTTTGCGATGTTAGGGGTACCTTATTGGGGTCCTTGTCAGGGGTTTTAAAGAGCCCTAAAGGGCTTTTCGACGTTTTGAGGATTTCTAGGGCATTTGTTGTTCTCTTGCGGGTTTTAGGGGTTTTCATGGGTTTAAGGGTTTAGGGTTTGGGAGTTGATGGATTTGAGCTTTTGGTTTTTAGGGGTTGGTTTTTAGGGGTTTGGGGGGGTTGATGGGTTCAGGGTGTCTTGACAATTCCCTTTCACGAGCCTCTTTCCGCTTCGATGACATCCTGGGCTTTAGGGGGATTGAGGGTTTAGGGTTTAAGTTTAGAGATAGGCCTCAGGGTTTAGGGTTTAGGGTTTAGAGATAGGTTTTTGAGGGTTTAAGGATTAGGGTTTAGGGTTTAGGTCAGGGTTTTGAAAGAGGTTGATTGTTTTTTTCTTTAAAATTGTCTGGGCTGTGTTGCTCCCCCCAACCCGCCCCCCAGGCCCGTCCTCTCCCCACGCCCCTCCACCCCACGGCCAGAGCCCAACCCGCCGTTCGTGGGTTTAGGTTGTTTGGGGTTTGGGGCTTTCTTGTTTCAGGTCGTTGTTGGTTTGCAGTTTTGGCAAAAACATCCACCGAGCGAGGAAGGCCCCGAAGATGCCGAGGCTGCAGGGCGGTGGGTTTAGTATAATATCCTCAAGGGGAGTTCAAGGGGGTATGTAACCCAAGGTTCCCTTGTGCTCCCTAAGGCTCCTTCAGCTTCACTAGCATGCCCTTTAGAACTTGGGATGTTCCCGCCTGTATACTAACAGTCCTTAATGGGGAATATAGTACCCCCTATGCCTATGCTAGTATAAGGGAGGTTTGGGCTTCCTAAACCACCCTTGAGGCTCCTCACCCCAGCTCAGGAGGGACCCTTCCAAGAGGTCTTAGGGGTTCTTTGGGGGTTATTTGTGGGGGCTACTCAAGTATACTAGGGACTATATCAGGTATATGTAAGGGTTATATAGGGGATTAAGATTACGGGTTAGGGGTCCCTCCATATGCGCCTTAAAAGGCTTAGGAGGAAGAGGGCCCTAGACCCTTTTGGGTTTAGGGTTTAGGGTTTTGAGGGAGAGGGTTAGAGAGGCGTTCAATGTGAGCTCACGCCAGGCTCTGAACAGTTGCGCGGGAACTTGAAGTGTGGGCCCCCGAACTCTAAGCCCACAAAGCCCCAACACCCCCAAACCCTAAACCCCTGTACCCCAAACCCGAAACTCCTAAACCCGAAACCCCAAACCCTGAACCCTAAACCTCCCTTTCGTATATGTATTAAACCCCAATGAGTTCGCCAGCAAATATCAAAACTTCGTCGGCAAATGCCGAAAACCATTGCCGACGAACTTTTGACATGACATTTGCCGGCGAACTGTTGACAGATCCAAAGGGTGGGTGGGTAGATATCGATACCAGAGTAGCGAGCCTGACTAGTGAATGCTTGGAGTTGAGATGCTGAACCCTCATCGCTACACCCTAAGCCCTAAGCCCTAAACCCTAAACCCCCAACCCTAAACCCTAAACCCTGAACCCCAATCCTAAATCCCCACTCCTAATTCCTAAACCCTAAACCCTAAACCCTAAACCCTAAACCCTTCAGGACCTGGCAGCCTTGGAGGCGGCCGCGTGCGCGAGCTTCGAGGCGGCACCCATGGAGGCTTGGGTTTAGGGTTTAGGGTTTAGGGTTTAGGGTTTAGGGTTTAGGGTTGGGTTTAGGGTGTTTATGGTGTTTAGGGTGTTTAGGGTGTTTAGGGTGTTTAGGGTGTTTAGGGTGTTTAGGGTGTTTAGGGCATTTAGGGTGTTTAGGGTGTTTAGGGCGTTTAGGGTTTAGGGTTTGGGGTTTGGGGTTTAGGGTGTTTAGGGTTTGGGGTGTAGGGTTTAGGTTTTAGGTTTGGGGGTTTCAGGGTTAGGGCTTTCGTGGTTCAGGGTTTTTGGGTTTTTGTGGGGTTTTGGGGGTTTTGGGGTTAGTTGGCAGAGCATTTGTAGAATGTCAACCCTCAACCCTCAACCCTCAACCCTCAACCCTCAACCCTCAACCCTCAACCCTCAACCCTCAACCCTCAACCCTCAACCCTCAACCCTCAACCCTCAACCCTCAACCCTCAACCCTCAACCCTCAACCCTCAACCCTCAACCCTCAACCCTCAACCCTAAACCCTAAACCCTAAACCCTAAACCCTAAACCCTAAACCCTAAACCCAAACCCTGAAAGAAAACCCTAACCCCGTAAGCCTTAAACCCCGAATGCCAACGTTAGGGGCGTCAGGGCTTGGAGACCTAAACCCAAAACCCAAAACCCTCAACCCTCAACCCTCAACCCTCAACCCTCAACCCTCAACCCTCAAACCTCAACCCTCAACCCTCAACCCTCAACCCTCAACCCTAAACCCTAAACCCTAAACCCTAAACCCTCAACCCTCAACCCTCAACCCTCAACCCTAAACCGGAACCCTAAACCCTAAACCCTAAACCCTAAACTCTAAACCCTAAACCCTAAACCCTAAACCCTAAACCCTAAACCCTAAACCCTAAACCCTAAACCCTAAACCCTAAACCCTAAACCCTAAACTCTGGCTCTCCAGGATGCCCAGCCGCTGGAGCAAGAGCCCGCGGCCTTGGCAGAGGAGGCTTTGTTAGGGTTTAGGGTTTAGGGTTTGGGGTTTGGGGTTTGGGGTTTGGGGTTTGGGGTTTCCGGTTTAGGGTTTCGGGTTGAGGCTTCTAGAGGGTGTCGGGTTTGGAGGCTTCGGGTTTGGGGTTTAGGGTTTTGGGTCTAGGCTTTCTGGTTTAGGGTATAGGGTTTGGCGCTTGGGCTTCGAGTTGTGAATGCAGGGTGCAGTGGCATGGGGTTCAGCGGGCAGTGTAGGTGCCAGCCCGAAACGATTGCACCCTACTTGGTGATTGCACCCTGCGCGGCCTACAGCCGCATACCCGCAAACCATCCGCTCACACCTAAAACCCTAAGCTCTGCGAAATTCAATCACCTTGTCAATGTGGCCAGAAGCCCTGCAAGTCCTAGAGGTTCAAGCAACCCTGACCTTCCCCTTTCAGAAAGATCCTCCTTCGGATGGAGGATATCCTTTACCCACGAAGCCCGACGAAGCTCTTTGAGCTTGATATCCCCAAACCCTAAGCCTTGAACCCGAAACCCTAACAACCCTTAACCCCAAACCATAAACCCTAAACCTAAACCCGTTAAGTTACTTTGCTGTGCTTGAAGTGTGTTTCGCACTTCCATTGTTGCTGTGTCATTTCGGCCGCGATCGCAGACAGCAGGAACCACCTGTGAAGTATGACCCTATAAGGCCAACTTACTAACAATGAGAGTGGGGGTGGTTGAGGTAGTTCAGCTCGCACTTGATAGGGGCTAGAAATAAAGGGACAGCACCGAATAGATGCTTGTTTAAGCTCGTGTACTAAGTGTTGCTACGAGGCTTTCAGGTCGGGAGGTGCCACTGAAGCTGACAGGATTTCGGAGCATAGGATGCTGCTACTTGTGGCCTGAGAGCTCAACCCTGCTAAAACCCTAAGCCTGCAATCCCGAAACCCTAAACCCCTAAACCCCTAAACCTCTAAACCCCTAAACCCCTAAACCCCTAAACCCCTAAAGCCGTAAAGCCCTAAAGCCCTAAACCCCTAAACCCCCAAACCCCTAAACCCCTAAACCCCTAAACCCCTAAACCCCTAACCCCCTAAGCCCCCTAAACCCCTAAACCCCCTAAACCCCTAAACCCCTAAACCCCTAAACCCCTAAAACCCTAAACCCTAAACCCTAAACCCCAAAACCCCCTAAACCCCTAAACCCTAAACCCTAAACCCCACAAACAAGACAGTGGGGGGAAGAGCATGTTCGGACCATGGGAGCCCGCAGGTGCCCGTTGGCAGACGCAACGTCCGAGTTTCCCCAGGCGGGTGTTTGTCGTGCCAACACCCCTGCCAGCTCTTCTCATTGTTATTGCTACCACTTTTGTTTCAAGCATTTTGTGTGGGTTATTGTGATTATGTTCCTGGTTTATTATGATCACTATCTGGGTTCATATTCGGGTTATGACAGGACGGTTTTTTCTACATGTATAAAATGTATTCTTATCTACTGTAGTTTGTTGTTTTTGTGGCGGTTATGAGTCAGATGGTTGTTATTGCTACCTTTTCGCTTATTCTGAGTATTGCTAGTATGGCTTCATTTTGTTATTGTTATTGCCAGTTCTACTGTTATCCTCTTGTTGTGATTATTGTTGGTATTGCTGTTGCTGTTCCTGCTACGGTGGCTATTGCAATCATTCTTGCAAGTCTTCTTGCCAGCCGCACATTACAACAATCCATGTGGGCCAATTCAGTTCTAGGCCGTCACAAGCCTGGGCTCAAAAAAATAGAGATCAAAATCCTGATATTCCCCTTTTCAGGTAGAAGATTTTCATTTTTTTTTTTTTTTTGGGGGGGGGGGGGGGGGCGGGGGTTCTTAAGCAATTGGTAGATTAGCATCCACTTGGCTTTGCACGACGGCTCTGTGTGGCACAACAAAAGCAGCGAGCAGTGATCGAAGAGGCTGGGCGCGCTTCTCATGTACTTGGAGGTTCATGGTACGTATTACCAATTTGAACTGTACTTATAACTGTACTTATAACCATATTCGGGCACTTAAGGGGCTTATAAGTGGGTTATAAGTGCAGTTGTAGTTGGTTAGTAAGTACCCTGAACCTCCAAGTAGGAGTTGGAGTTGGACTCCCGTGAGTCTTGAAGCTATCATTGGTTGGTAAGTACCATGAACCTCCAAATACCCTAGACCCCAAGTGGCTGTCCGGGTCGTGAGGTAGTCACATTGACAACTACTGGGCCATATCACCTACAGTGGCCAGAGGCGCTACTATATCCTCAAACCCTAAACCCTAAACCCTAAATCCTAAACCCTAAACCCTAAACCCTAAACCCTAAACCCTTCAACCCCTCAACCCCTAAACCCTAGCAGCCCCGAAAGCTGGGTATGCTGTTCTGTCCTTAAGCCCAAAGCCATAAACCCCAAACCCGCAGCCCTGAATCCTAGACCCTAAACCCCAAACCCTAAACCCGAAACCCTAAACCCTAAGATTTATTGTTTAGGGTTCAGGGTTTGGGGTTTGGGGTTTAGGGTTTGGGCTTTAGGGCTGGGGGTTTAGGGTGTGGAAGGGTTTGGGGTTCAGGGTTTTCAGTCAAGGCTTTAGGATTTAGGGCTAGCACAGCCTCACCTAAGCCCAAAACACCCCAATTCCTGACCCAAGCCCTAAACCCTAAACCCTAAACCCTAAACCCTAAACCCTAAACCCTAAACCCTAAACTCTAAACCCTAAACCCTAAACCCTAAACCCTAAACCCTAAACCCTAAACCCTATACCCTAAACCCTAAACCCTAAATCCTAAACCCTAAACCCTAAACCTTAAACCCTAAACCCTAAACCCTAAACCCGAAACCCAAGCACCAGGCTCCCAGAAGCAGTTCACCCGGCGGAACGTGCCGATTCCGATGCCGCAGGCAGACATTTTGGGGTATTCTTGGGGCTCGAAGTTGAGGGTTTAGGGTTTAGGGCTTAGGGTTTAGGGTCTAGGGTTTAGGGTCTAGGGTTTAGGGTTTCGGTTGAGGGTTGAGGGTTCAGGGTTTGCTGTAGTATGGCGCAGATGCTGTGAAGGGTGGGATGCAGCATAGGCTCGAAAGGTTCGTCAGGCACGAAGAGCAGCAACGTTCTCCCATAGTCGCCCTTTCAGGACCAAACTCATTTCGTTGGTAGTTTTCCTGATTTCAGAAGTCGACGAAGATTAGCAGCCAAGGTCCCAGGAAAAGGACGTGCCGAGATTTAAGAAGCTTGCCAGGGTTCCAGGTCCCACCAGCTCGTAAGCCCTCAAAGGCCAGCACTTTGCTGGCCCCTGGGGCTAAGGGTTTAGGGTTTCGGGTTTAGGGTTTAGGGGCTCCGGTGGGCGGAGGCGCTAAATTTGCTTCAGCGCCGCCCACTGTGGCAGGGGGCGGCGGCTGAGCCTTGAGAATAGGGTGGTTTAGGGTTGAGGGTTTAGGGTTTAGGGTTTCGGGTTTCGGGTTTGGGGCTTTGGGGTTGCTTTTGAGTAGGTTATGAGTGTTGAGGGTTTACGGGTTTGGAGGGCTGTGAGGTTCAAAGTCAAGCCCCCTAAAAGCCTTAAGCCCTTTAAAGCCCTACATGCTAACACCACACCAGGATGCTCTTAAGGTGCTCATTGGCGGCGATCGTCCGGTTTTGGGACTGTGCACGGTTAAGGGACCAAACGCCCTGGTGCATCCTACCGCCACAACCCCAAGACCTTAAAACAACCCTCAAACCTTACAACCCTAACACAGCCCTACAACCTAAATCCTCAACCCCAATCCCAACCCTCAACCCCTAAACCCTAAACCCTAAATCCTAAATCCTAAATCCTCAACCTCTAAACCCCAAACCCCAAACCCCAAACCCCAAACCCCAAACCCTAAACCCTAAACCCTAAACCCTAAACCCTCAACCCCTCAACCCTAAGCCCTAAACCCTAAACCCTCAACCCTAAACCCTAAACCCTAAACCCTAAACCCTAAACCCTAAACCCTAAACCCTAAACCCTAAACCCTAAACCCCTAAGCCCGTGCATGTCAAGGGCAAAGCAAAGGGCAAGGGCAAGTCGAAGGTCGGAGCCTGGGCCTTGATTCTTTTCAAGGGCTCTCGGGTTTAGGGTTTAGGGTTTAGGGTTTAGGGTTTAGGGTTTAGGGTTTAGGGTTTAGGGTTTAGGGTTTAGGGTTTAGGGCGAGAGTTTTTAAGAGCTAAAAGGCTTTATAGGGTTAAAAAGAGTTTAGGGGTTTGTAGGGTGCACAGGGTTGATAGAGTTTCTGGAATTGATAGGGCTTGGGGTTTAGGGTTGAGGTTTTTAATCTAGGGTTTGGGGCCTGGGCTTTCAGTTTAGGACCCTGACAACCTACACTGCGAGCATGGCCCCAAACCCTGCAGTCTACACCCTAAATTCTATGTGTCTGTGAGGGATACGCAGCTAAGCCCGATAAGCCCGATCAACCCCAAAGACCCTCTTTATTCCCGAAATAAACCCTACATAAGCTCATAAGCTCTACAGTAAGAGCCCTAAACCCTAAACCCTAAACCCTAAACCCTAAACCCTAAACCCTAAACCCTAAACCCTAAACCCTAAACCGTAAACCCTAAACCCTAAACCCTAAACCCTAAACCCTAAACCCTAAACCCTAAACCCTAAACCCTAGAGCCCTTGAAAAACAAACCCAGGGCCGCCCCGCCGCCCAGGCCCAGTTGCCGCCCTGGAAGTGCAGCAAGCTGCCCATACAGGAGGGTTTAGGGTTTAGGGTTTAGGGTTTTAGGGTTTTAGTGTTTTAGGTTTTTAGGGTTTTTAGGGTTTTAGGGTTTTTAGGGTTTCAGGGTTTTAGGGTTTTAGGGCTTTAGGGTTTTAGGGTTTTAGGGTTCTAGGGTTATAAATAGGATTTAGGGTTCTAGGGTTTAGGTCTTTCAGGGTTCTAGGGTTTTGGGGATTTGGGGTGTGGGGGTTTTCAAGGGAGATGAGGAGGGACTTCTAGAAGGGACCCTGAAACCTTAATTATCCTATACAACCCCGCTGAAACCTTCATTATCCTATACAACCCCGCTGTTCACCTTATATCGTCCCCATATACCGAAGCAGCCCCTGCATTACCCCGAAGGTCTCTTACCAGGGTCCCTCCGTTAGTTCGTTTAGGGTTTAGGGTTTAGGGTTTAGGGTTTAGGGTTTAGGGTTTAGGGACTAAGGTTTAGGGTTTAGGGTTTAGGGCTGTCTTTTTTCAGGGAAGTTGCATGGTCCCTTCACATGGTCCTTTACCTTCTTTACAGGGTTCTGAAGTGTGGGCCCTTGGGATTTAGAGGGTATAGACGGTTTCCCAATTCAGTTCCCATGGAATTTTGGGGTTCTGGGGGTTGGGGCGTCACAAGCTTGCAGGCCAGAGCCCAGAAAGCATTGTGAGGTGCGAGATACCCTAAACCCCAAACCCCAAACCCCAAACCCTAAACCCTAAACCCCAAACCCTAAACCCTAAACCCTAAAACCTAAACCCTACACCCTAAACCCAAGAGCACCTTTGGAGGGGTGCAAGGCTTTCTTGTCGCGCTCCGCGCATTCGTGGGCTCTGGGGCGCGGTTTGCGTCGGTCGTTTGTGGGGTTTAGGGTTTAGAGTTTAGGGTTTAGGGTTGAAGTTGGGGGCGTTTGGGGGACATGGTTTTGGGTCGAAGGGGTTGAGGATTTCGGCTTGATACGGTTGACGGAGGTTGAGGGCGTGCAGGGTGCGCAGGAACGTCAGACCTGGATCCTCCTGAATCTCCCGATCGCTAAACCTAGAAGGATTCAGGGCAAAGAGCATGTAGTGTTTTGGGGCTTACGGTTTAGGGTTTAGGGTTTAGGGTTTGGGTTATGGTAGGAGTTAGGGTCCAAGTTTTGACCTTCAGCTCCTCTGCCCTGAGGCGAGCCCTAAACCCTAAACCCCAAACCCTAAACCCTAAACCCTAAACCCTGAACCCTAAACCCCAAACCCTAAACCTAAACGCTGGTTTCGCTGGTTTCCCTGGCCCACACCGTGGGAGAAACATACCCCTATCGAACTGCTGGATGGAAGCGTGCAAAAGCAGGCCCCGTGTCTCAACAGTCCGGCTTAACAGCACACGCTTTTGGCCGGGGCAGTCATGGGAGCAGCATCCTGAGAGGTCGAGACCTTTCTCTCCAGTATGCAAACACATAGTCTTGAACCTCACGTGCGAGAGCCAGAAGCTCCTCAAACCCCTCCTGTCCAGGCTGCAGGCACAAGATCCCGGAAACGGATCCTTCTGCAGGGCATTCGCATGATGCCAAAGCTCCACGGGCCTCAGCAAACCTTTCGCAAGAAAGGAGAACATGGGCAAGTGGCCCCTGTACAGATTTGTCACAAGCAATACACTTAACAACCCTGGCCTTAGAAAAAGAACCCTGACGATGCCCCAAAGGAAAAAGATTAAGCCTGAGACGGCACAAGGCTCTGCTAGCCAGCAAGCTGCTCCACGACATTGGCTGCTTCAGGATTGAAGCAAGCAGGTCGTGTGGGGCCAGCTTGGGATAAATGACCCGCCACGACAAAAAACATGTAGAAGACTGAATGCAGGACTGGTGCTTCTCCAAGCATCTAGCCTCCAAAACATGTTTGACATATCGCTTGTATTCACGGATCCCCAAGTGCATGTTGCCTTCGCAAAAGTCACGAATTCCCCACTCTCTGAGGAGTCGGAGGCTCTTTGAGCTCCAAGTATCATCTGTGGCTGAATGTGAGGCTGCATCAAAAATTCTACGAAAAAGGTCATCTGAATCCCAGCATTGCATACGTGCGCGTCTCATCGCAACATCCAAAACTGCTCGCGCCATCCCAGAAAGAGACCAACCTAATTCCCAAAAAACAGCATGAGCCGGCATCCAGCTTGGAACACCAAGCAGGATTCTAGCCCAACGAGCGTATGCATCATCGAGTATCTGCGCAGCATCTGTGGCCAGGACAGCAAAAAGCCATCGACCAGGCCTCATGCATGCATCCACCTTCCCTTCAAACAACTTTAGGACGAAGGGCAGGGGGACGACATTAGACGAGCAAAGCCCCGCCAGCGTGGAAAAAACACCAGACGCAGCATGCAACCGAGCCTGCAGGGTTTCTAAAGCACCGCCGTCCTCAGTCCACATCCAGCCAAGCCATCTATGTGGGCCAGAACCTCGAGAAAGAGACGCGCAAGTGGCCGACGGCGATGGGCGGAAGAAAATGTGCTGCATCTGTCCGAAACCTCCTAAACGAAAAACAAGCGTTTTATTATCCGAAATGTGGAAACGAGCTCCATGAGCAGGGGCCCAGCGTTCAATCATGAGCACCATTCTGCATAGTTCTCCCCAAGATGAAGCTAGAAAAACAGGGTCATCTGCATGCAGGAGAAGGCAGAGGCGATTCTGGTCCCTCAGATCAATGGCTCGAGCAGCAGAGGCCTCCAAGTCTGGGTCTGCTTGCAGCTCTGAGCTGTCAGGTACGTGCCTGCGTGTGTTGAGATCGTGGAGTAATGAAGCTACAAGGTGAGGCTGGGGCACCCCCTGCCCACTCCAACGATGGGATTTCCAATTTGCGGGCAGATCAGGGCGGATCGCAACTCCGCACTTCTCCCGAGCCATGATTTGTGACAGCGAGTCTGGGATCAGGGGATACAAAATGGGCCCCAAGCAACCTCCTTCGGGCAGACCTTCGAGAACAGGAAGAACCGAAAACCCGCCGAAGAAAACAGAAACCAAATCAGAAGCCAACACATCTCCTAAGAGGTGCAGTACGCCCCCAGAAACAAGCGGGCACTTGGCCGCTAAGTGAATAATATCGTCCCGCCAGCATGATGGAAAAGCCTTTTGAAAGTCACCCATGAGTGCAAACACACAGCGGTTTTGGGAAGCAACGGCTAGTTGTCTTAGCTCACTTAAGGCAAACACTGGGTCGTCAGAGGACCTGATGTACCCCGACTGGCCTTCCAAGAGGTGGGACCAAATTGCAGGTCTGAGTTGCAGAGCCAAGACACCTTCCTGCAGTAATCCCATTTGGGATCGGACGAAGAGCAATCTCCAAGATGAGAATTCCGACACAGAGCCTTTCTTGAAAGCCGTTCCTAAGCACGACCATCTCCAAAGAGACGGGCGCAAAGCCCATCTGGCAGGTCCTGCTAGCTGACACAGCAGCCACACTAGGCAAATCCAATCCTCTTGATCCGCTTGCAACGCAGCCCTTGGAATTAAATCTGGCGTCATTGCTGCTGAAGATTGCCAAGACGACAGAACAGCACGAACCTCTGGCTCAGAAATGTCCCTATCTAGAGGCCCCTGACCGCACTTCTTCCATGCTCGCCCCATCATGGAGCTTACGGACTGGCGCATGCTAGCAAGTACATTGGCATCGGGGATTACAGGGCCAGAACACTGTGATGTCAGTCTGTTGCACCACTCCTTGTGTGTCTCAAGGGGAGAGAGAAGCACCCCATTCTTGCGCATGCACACCGGTGTAGGGACCTTGTTTTTCCGGAGGAACTTAAAGCACTTCTGGGCTACGGTCACTGGGAGGTTACCTCCAGCGAGGAGGCTTTGAACTTCACCAACAATTCGCGCAGAATCATCTGTGTGAGAAGACATATGGACTCGGGAGGATGTGTGGCAGGGCACTGCAGGGGAGCAAGTAGGGTGGACCCATCCATCCCGCGCAACCGAGGCAAAAAAGCAATGGACCCAGCAAAAGCAGTCCAAAACCCAACGCCTAAAAGCAAGGCCAGAGACCCTCCTACAATCCCTGGCCTCAAGCTCCAAGCAATCTCGAGCAGACCTCACCAAGCTGCACAGTTCTCGAACTGCAGGCGCAATCCTAATCAGAGAGCTTGCCCAACGCCTGGGCATGTGCCACTGGCGCGGGAGCTGAGGCTGCGCCGAGCTTACATCTTCAACATCCCCTGAAGCAGAGACGGTGATTTCAATCAAGAAATGGTCGCTCATGCAGAAGTCGGCGCACACTTCCCAGGAACAACCTGACGAGGCGCAATGCAAGCTGTTGTGTACGATGACCTCAGCACGGGTGTGGCGGGAACACAAGACAAGGTCAATGGCACGGGGGTTTCCTGCGTGGTGAGTGTCCCCTTCTCGAATTGAGACCTCAGTCTTGCGTACTGGAAGTCGAATCAGGCGGGGTCTCGCGCCCGCTACAGAAGGATTGAGCAGCGAGACCGACCATTTATTCAAGAAGGACCTAAGAGCAAGGTCCCTCCTAGGTTTAGGATCAGCCTGCCCACTCAAAACAGCCGGTTGGACGTTGAAATCACCTGCAATGAAAAAATGCGGGGGATTGGGTGAGTCCCACGACGATGCGAGTTTCAACATGTCGCTATCGAGGCCTTCCATTTCTAGGAGCCAGCGTGTGTCGTGTTCAGTTGATGCCTGCGTAGGCATGGCGATGAACGCACAGTAGCCTAAGGCAAGTCCAGACCTTGAGATGGACAGCCAAATACGGCAATCTGAACCAACTTCGGAGATGGGCTCAAATTGAAACGGACCATGTTGCTTCCAAATGACAGCGCAGCTGAAGTAAGACGGGCCCCCTCGGCACTCGAGGTTCCATCCTGGGCAACCTGCCAGAGCTATGCCAGACCTTAGTCGGGCTGCTGGCAGTCCTAGGATATGCAGGCCCAGCTTATCCATTGCTGTGATGGCGGACCATGGCCGCCCCAGTAGCTTACTCCAAATAACAGAAGAACCGTCAACACTAACGCACCCAGTTTTGCCAGGATTCCCTACTCCAATTTTGAGGTTTGGGCACTGCAGCTCTGACTTGGGAGAGCACGGTGGGATGAGACACCTCACCTGTGCAGCACTCTCCAAGCCAGCGGCTATCACTTTGTGGAGTTTATCAACAAGAGAGAGCACATTTCCGTGTCGCGCATTAAGTGGGACGGGCCAGTTGAGGAGGCGCTCCCCTTCTTTGACAAGCCTCGTCCAGGTATGCTGCAAGATGCCAAAAGTTGCATGATCCACTGGGGCAGCGGGGTATTTCTGCCGATGTTCTACTGCCCTGCGACCCATGCAGGACATGTGCTCAGACAGTTGGTCTGTCATGCCGCGCAAAGAGGTGAGAGCGCACGGAGTCAGTCACTAACAGCAAGAGGCTGAGCCAAGACAACACAGGCGAGCGAGGCAACGCAAGGCAAGCAGCCACAAGAAAGAGAAAAAAGAAACACAACACACGCAGACACACACGCACACACACCCACACACACACACACACACGACACACAGCGAGCAACACGCAGCACACGACCCGGGGAGCGCAGCACGCCCAAAAACGACGCGCAACAAGCCAAAAAAAAAAAAACAAAAGCAACCCGCGCACGACACCCAGCACAAAAGCAAAACGCAAGCACACAGGACGCAACAAACACGCAGCGCGCAACACGCGACAAGCAACAAGGGCAGCAAGCACGCAACACACAACAGGCAACACACGCAAGACACGACCCGCAACACAAGCGCACAGGCCGCAGCCCGCAGCACGCCGCACACAAAACCCCACACACAAAACGCCACAGGCACGACGCGCCACAAAAAACACACAACGCGCAAAACGCAACACAGAGGGCGCAGCAGCACAGCCCACAACCCACAGCACGCCGCAGACACGCAGCCCAACGCACACAGAAGCGCAAACGAGCACGCACGCGCACACGCACACGCACACGCACGCGCACGCGCACGCGCACGCGCGCACACACACGCACGCACGCACGCACGCACGCACACGCACACACACACACAGACACACAGACACACAGACACACAGACACACAGACACACAGACACACAGACACACAGACACACAGACACACAGACACACCGACACACAGACACACAGACACACAGACACACAGACACACACACACACACACACACACCACACAACACACACACACACACACCAGCACACGCACACACGCACACGCCACACGCGCGCAACGACGCAGCACACGCGCACACCACGCACACACGCGCGCACGCACACGACACACGACACGCACACACACCACACACACACACACACAGACACACACACACACACACAGACACACAGACACACACAGACACACACACACCAACACACGCGCACGCGCACACGCACACGCACACACGCCCACACACACACACCCAAAGACACACACACACACACACCCAAACACGCACACACACCCACACACACACACAAGCACACGCACAAGCGCGCACACACAGAGCACGACACAAAGCACAACACACCACACACAGCACAC